TTTCTAGAAGTTGTGCATTCTATCCTTACCTTGTGGGAAATGCACTAAACCTCAATTCATATAGAATATACTGCTTCAGACAGACAATTTGCAAATGCCTGTTAAGGAGGCCATATGGAGAGGCTGGCAGAAGGGCAGCTAGTGAACCAGTTATATGTGCCAAGTTCAATTTGTCACACTTTACAGTACCAAGAAATACTGTGTTCTCGTTTTGAGAAGGAAAACTCTCATTAGTAAAGATTCAACAACCTACTCCTCAAAATGCATCTTTTATGAAAAGATCCAGCATGCCTGCTTTTCAAAACTAGAATTGCTGGTATGTAACATATCTACAAATGTATGCAGTAAATACGGAGTACTGATCTAAAATGTGTGGAACAGAAGAATCCTCATTTCTCCATTCACGTATGTCTTGGCCATTAGTCCTTGTGGCTGGAAGACTGACAGCTTTCAAAACTAAAACTAAAATGTTCAAAACTGAAACCAGGGATCATCAAATCCTAGAATATTGTCAGCTGGAGGGGACATACAAAGTTGAAGTCCAGCTCCTGACTGTGCACAGTACAGCCACAGGAATTATACACCATGTGCCTCAGAGTATTGTCCAAACGCCTCTTGAAGTCTGGTGGGTCTGGGGCCATGAGCACTTTCTTGAGGAGGCTGTTCCTGAACACCCTCTGGGTGAAGGTTTTTCTAATATCTAACCTAGACCTCCTGTGATGCAGCTTCATACCATTCCCTTGCATCTGCTCTTTGGTCACCAGAAAGGAGATGTGCCTGGACCACATCTCCTGTGGCTGTAAGGGGACAGTAACCGTGGTGAAAGTGGTGCGAGCCAGTGCTAAAATCACCTTTTCTCCTTGGCATAACATTTAGAGGTTTAGATGTTTAAATTGGATTTGGCATCAAAATTCTTCATCTCTTTCATGTCTCAGCCTTTGGTACTTTCAGCGTCTCAACGGTTTGGGCTGGCTGGTAGAATTTACGCGGGGTAAATGCTGGCTGTACCGAAAGCGGAGGCGCAGTCGGTGTGTCCTGGCTGCCGGCAGGTGCCGGGCGGCTCCCCTGTGCCGGGCAGCGGCCGAGGCTCCGCGCCCCCGCCCCTGTGGAGAGAGGAGGCGGTGTCTCCTCCCCGCCGGGCCTGGGGNCCCGCCCCGAGCGAGTCCCGCGGCCGGGCTGAGCGGCTGTGCCTCCCCGCCAGGCCCCACCTGCCGCAGCCTCTGCGCCGCCGCGGAGCAGAACCTCTCCTACCAGGAGCTCAAAGACCTGAAGAAGGCCAACGTCCTTCACATTGACGTGCGGGAGAGGTGGGAGATCGACAGGTTTGGAAAAATCCCGGAGTCCATCAACATACCGCGTAAGTTGTCAACGCCGCTATGTGCAGGCGTCGGGCGTTCCGTGTTCCTCCTGGCTGCAGAGGTCAAGTGGTGACTGAGCAAAGGGGAACAGTGCTAGAAAGGTGCTGGCATATGATAAGGCTGAACTTTTCCTCCAGAGCAATTACAAGTCTTGCAATGTAAAGTGGGTGAATTAATGGAAGCTCTACAAATGGACCCAACGGAGTTCAAGGAGCAGTATAATCAAAAAATGCCATCCAAGACAGACCCTGTGGTTTTCTCCTGTTTGGCAGGAACAAGAAGTAAACAAGCACTTGGTTTTGCCATGTCCTTGGGTTTCAGCAGGTACGACTTTAAGAATGGGATTAATGAAACTTTCTGTCATGAAGCAGAACACGTACTCACCTTGGGGGCAAGGGTAAAAAATTACATGTGGAATATGAACAAAACAATTGGTAATTGAGTTAGACACCTCCCCTTGTCTCCACTGAACCTCGAAGTGGTAAAAGTGAGGTGTACCACCCTCTGAAACAACCCCTCAGCAGCTCTGCACATGTGCCACAGGTGACACAAGCTGCTGCATGACCACGCTGCCACTGAAGGGTCCTCTGCCTCTTAGGGGGCCCTTGCTGAGATTCTCCTTTCTTACACAGCTTCATAAGTACTAGTCTTGAGTTGCAGGAAGATTGGAAAGGTGGAGAACTGCTTACTTTGGTAGTAGTACAATCTTAAATGCTTTAAGAAGCCACACCCTTTGTTGAATTGCATTCTCCCCATAGAGTTCACTGTTGACAAAGGATGCCTTCACTTCCTGTAAAGCTTTGGATTATTTGCCAGGAGTAAAGCAGTGAAGGCAATAGCTAACAAAACAATGAGATGATGGTACAATGAAATGCAGCATTTGGTTTGCAGAATTGTTAAACCTATCTCTGGAAGGTACTTCGCTGTCTTGAAGACTGCAGGTAAAATTTAAGACACTGGTTACTTGCTTGTGTTTTCACTGAACTGCAATTCAGGAAATGGAACATTGATAACAACTGTAGTCAAAAGTATGGAAGTATGTTCTTGTTTTAAAGTGAAGAATTTCCTCCGTTACCTGCTTTTTATGCTGCCTAACTGAAGGAGTCAATACTGGTTTTCACAGTGGATTTTTGTTTTACAGAGTTTAGTTTTGCTCAGGGTGATTTCTGACCTATAGAGCATGTAGGTTTGCAAGGAAGTAAAGATCAGTGTGCTGGGTTTATTTGGTGACAACTGAAGTATTAGACATAATAAACAGACTGTAAATCTCTCACTTCTGAGAATCTGTTCTCACAATCTTTTAAAAAAGAACTGGCAACTGTTTAATTGATCCAGCTGCTATTTCTTGCTTGATGTTTGAATTCCATCATTGTCATTTGGAAGAAAAGAGTTACAGAACTCACTCCATGAGAGCAGATAGTATTAAAGGAATGACTGTCTGGCTCATTGAAGCTAGATACAAGTGTATATGGTTGCAGAGAATTTCTGTTTTGGTTTTTTTTTTTAAATCTGTTTTTTGTAGGGCTTTTTGTTTGTGGGGTTTTGGGTGTCTATTTTTTACTTTTGATTTCTTTTTTTTCTTTTTTTTTTCCTGTGTCCTCTTAATAGACAATATTAAGCAGGACTTTTCTTAAGAAAGGCATTTTCTGCATATTTCCAGAGTTCAGCAGTATGCAGGTGGCTTTGACGACTGGGTAAAACATGAACCTCCAGAAAAGAAATGAAGATGACAGCCCCAGCCCTTACCCCATCAAGGCTTCAGGATGGTTTGTAGGCTTTAGCAAACTGCATGCATTCCACTTCCAAAATAAAGCTCACTACTGGCTTCTTGTGTAAATGGACATTCACCTTCAAATAGCCATGCATATCAACTGCTTGGTTTAAATTATACCCAAAGACTACGACATGAACAGAGGACATTAAATTTGCTCAAACTTTCAACCTTTACTTTGGGTTATGGTTTTGGTGAATGTATGTGAAGAGAACCTAAGTGCAGATAATGTTTACTTTTTTTGTATGATGTAGTTTATGACAGTTTAAACTCATGATGATAGGACAAATAAAGTTATTATTTCTCCAGTACATGTGTTGGGTAGTTTGTTTATAATAGTCAAACTGCAGATACTCTAGTATCAAGGGATCAAGGGGACAAGAGAAACCCACTGCTGGCTGTGTTATGCCAGGCCTCACCAGGACTAACAATGCCTTCTGGAGATCATTAAAGTCAGACTGTATTGAGGATTTCAGAGCCACTGGAAATATTTGGTTAAATGTATAATTCATCTTGCTTAGCTGTATTGATCAAGCCACCAAACTTCAGCATACAAATGAACAAAGCAAGGCAATTTAATCAACCAAGTCAGTACTTAGTCATAAGCAGCCAATGCTTTCTTTTGTAGCTACATTAACATTTGTTTGGAACACCTCAAACTACATAACCATAAAAAAGAATCAAGTTATAGTGTGTTACACAAAGATCTTTCTAGCCCATTATTTTCTGTTTGGCAGCAACTGGTAATAAACATCTGAGGAAGAGCATTAACAGGGTTAGTATGTAGGGATACAATCTCATTTACAACTCCAAGTGCTTCAGGCTTTGCATGTCTTAGTATCTTTGGGTATTTGTAAATTTTCAACAGAAACTCACACCAGACACAGCAGTAGTGAGAAATCTTTCCCAAATTGCCATGTATTCCTTTCATCAGCTGCTGTGGCTTCTTCTGTCAGAAGTGAGTAGTTGTCACCTATCAGTCTTCACACCACCCATGATTTTTCTAGACCCCTGCTGTCTTTTCTGAATTGAGGAGTGGTGGGTTGGTTTTTTTATAATTGAAAAATTATTGTATACCTCTTTTTTATTTTTCTTTTTTATTAATCATGGTTGGTTTTTTGTAAAATGTTTCTCAAACTATTTGTAGCTTGTCAACTTAGATAATCCTTTCCAATTTGCTTTCCAAATTATGGGGTTTGAGATAAATAACTTTTCTGATCCAGTTTGTTTCCTATGGGATTTTTCCTTAAGTCTTTTTCGACTTCTTGAACTATAGACAGCTTGTGTTTGCTTTGACACTTCAGAGTCACCTGTTGCCATATGATCTGTGAAGACTTTCAGCTATCTCTGAGACAGCACATTTTTATGCACCTCTCCTTTGAAGTGAAGCACTTCTTCACTTCTCACTTTAAAGAAAGGCGATTTTTTTTTCCTGTCTGCTTAGCAGCAAGACTGTTGAATTCACATTGTGTTCCATTTCTTATTGTTCAAAATTACATCGTTTTAAAACTGTCTTCACTGAATCCAGCACTTTTGACTGCACTTTATTGCCTTTCACTGTTTTTACTGGAATCAAAGCTGGTAAAATTAGCCTCATCTTCCCAGCAGAGAAATGCCTTTAGAAGCTTCTAGGTACCAGAAGTGCCTGACATTTTAGCTCTGAGGTTTAGGTCCCATTGTGCTTTACATGTGAAGCAAAGTCAGCAAAGACTCTTCAGCAGCAAGAAAAAATGTAATCACTCTAGCCAGAATTCTTTATTAATTCCCCAATTACAAAACATGAACTTTCTTGGCAGATTATGTGGTGTATGTGAGAAAACTGAGGCTTACCTAAAGAACAGTTCCTGTTTAAGAACTCCACACAACAAAGGTCAAGTCGCTTTGATTTATTTCTATTCCCCAAGTCCACATTACAAATAGCACATTTTAGACTTCAAGAAATGAAAGCAAAATAGCCAAATTCCACTTAATCAGTCAAGTGTCTATAAAAGGTATGGATCAAATGGCAACCAAGTAGCAAAGACCAAAATGTATAACTTTTTGTGTTTGGGGCTGGTTCACATAATGGTTTATGGAAATAATCTGAACAGAAATAAATGCTAGCAGCCTAATGGGCTACATACAAAAACACTTCAGTTATAATTCACTGAATTACCAGCCAATTACAAAGACAGGTATTTGCAAAAAACAGGTGGGTTTTTTTAAGGGGCCAGTTTTTTGAACCAAGACACTTCACAGAGCACATGTTTTCAACTATCTCCTTCCAATATTTCAGGGCAGTGAAAAGTTTTGTTTCAGGAAAACAGAAACAAAAATTAAAAAAAAACCAAAAAAAAACCCCAAAAAGACGAGAGAGAACAATGTTACTGAACTTTATCATTTAACTTTTATACTTGGGCAAGTTGGCATTATCATTCAAAATAAAGTTGTAGAGAACTTAATTAGAAACAAAGTTATCTAAAAAAATCAACAAATCAATTAAGGCCAATTCCTGTCTTCAGTGGGATATCTGCCTGAGTAAGGAATGCAGGATATGGCCTTCTGTTTGAAGAAATCTCATTTTCTCCAGCACAAAGTTAACCAAGGAATCCCAATTTCAGTTATTCTAGAGTTGCTTCTAACATCCCAATTAAAATTAGCCAGTATGAAGCTCACCAAACACTTGATCCTCTTAAATAAACTCTCTAAAGAACCACACAAATTCACACTAACAGTGAAGGCAGACTAGCAGTGTATATCTTTTCTACAAAAAAATCCACCATAAAAAATAGCAATAATACCCAGATCTGTACTTGATTGTGAAATATTCTGATTGTACCATACAGTACATTTATTTGAAAAAAAAAAAAAAAATCCTAGTATGTTGGGTTGTCTTAATTTATAACACTTGAAATGTTTCAGAAAACTGCAGAATCACTATACATATTGCACTTCTCTGATAAGCTGGGCTACTATGTATCATGGCAAAAACAACCAAGTAGATCTACTGAGGAATACAGCTTTTTTAAACCCAAAAATAGAATCTGACTTTATTTCCTGCAGCTTTCATTAAAACTGTAACAATATTCTTTACAGGCTCTTCTAGGCATTTGTTTCAGAAGGACTGTGTGTTACTTGTTGCAGAATCTGTATTTATTTTTTTTTTTAAATCAACAAAACTGAAGGTAATGGATAAATTCAACATAGAGTGCACTATCTTCCTTCAGTCACAAACAAAATGAAGACAACACAAGTCATTAATACAGTTACACTTAGGCCTCGGGTTACTGTTACTCTAAAAATAGTTCACTTCAACACAAATAAAACCAATAATGAACTATTTGTTTTGAGTGAAAAATGTTACTCTTTTGCAGCTTGGTTTAAAGTTTGATTCCTTACACTGAAAAATCTTAGCACATTTGCTCCAGTGTCAGAGAAAATGATGTAGTTTTAGAGAAAAAGCTTTCAAAATGCTTGACACAAACAAGCTATTTATTCTTCGAGTTTTTTGTCAAAGATGGTACTAAAACCTTCTGTCCATTTCATGAACACAGGAAATATCCCAGGATGTCTTGAGTCAAAGTGGTCCATAAAGAAATTCTTTGGAATGCCTTAAGATTGGCTATAACTAGAGTTCTGGCTACCATTTGGACCCTGTTCTCCTTCACTGTTGAAGAAAACAAAAACATGTCTCTTCAATAAGAAGCATCACATTACATTTTTATCCTTTTTTTTTAAATTAAAAAATAAAGTATTCTGAAAGCAGTAAAACCTTTTGAAATAAAATCCATCAACATATACATAAATAGGTCAAAATATTCTGCTCAGTTTCATTAAAAAATGCAAAGGTTATTCTCAGTATGCATAAATAATTTCACCATGTTTATGTGAATAATAATTTCAATATATTCCCATGAAGCTGCCTGCTGAATCTACTTCAGAAGTCAACATTGCAAAGTTCACATTACATAAGCATGTGCACAGGAATTTGTGTGTGCAGATTCCCCCAACAGTGATATTTAATCACAGTAATTAAATACGACATCAAGCAGGCTCAGTTCTATTGAATCTGGCCCAGCCATGGAGCCTCACACTGGGGTTCCTTACATTTGCTGAGCTGTATTGATCACATTCTAATCACATTAAAACTCTCTGTAAGATAATGAATGTTATGCTTCCCACTAGCTCCTGAACAAGCAGGCTGGTTTTGTATCAGAAACATCTGCACTGTAAAAATATACACTATACCTTGAATTAAACATTTACACATTCTTAAGATCCTAGTCTAGTTTTTCCATAGGAAGGGTGTAATATGGAAGTACTGTACCTGTTTGGAGGTGGTTTTGGTTTAGGCATTTTACTAAGAATAGTAGCCATCTCTTTCCTCTCATCGAAGTTCTTCCACTGCTCATACAGCTTCAGAATAACCCTGATTATTTCCAAAATCTGCATTAGAAAGAAAAAAGATCCCAAGGTCAGACATGACAGTGATTTTACCTTTATCATAGCCCATTTAAGTGTGCAATTATCTAAACAAGCCCCAAACTGAAACTAAACATCACAATTTTCATATTATAAACAGAGCTGTCTCACACTTAATCTGTTCACAAAAAAGCATTTAGTCAGTTTTTTTATTTAATTGTGAATCAAAGCCTGAACTGAATACTTTCCTTTTCAATTGTATTTACTGCTTTTCTTCCCCTGCAAACTAAATACCTTTTTATTTATTTATTTATTTGCACCTACTGTCCAGCTCTAAGCTCCTAGGAAAATACAGACCTGGGCAGAATGACTGCAGCTGAACGACCACACATTATCAAAACAGTAATTGATGATTACATTATCAATGTTCTATACATATTAAGGGCACAGTATGGGAAAACAAAAGCCCAAAACCACAAAACATTCATCTGAACTTTTCCTTCCAAGAAACAGAGCCAAGAAGTTTTTAAATACTTCTTATATTCTTATATACATATAATAAGAATTGTTAACACTTCATATTCCACTTCTGGAAGCGTAAGCATTCCACACCTGGTTGGACACTTTCTATCTACCTTAATTTCCTATTAAAATTCTAGTGCAATATTCTATATAAAAGCTGGAGAATGTTTCATTCATAATATGTTTCATCATTCTCTAATAGACTTCTTTCTGCTTTTTAATACATGAACTTTGATTAAGTGCTAGAGCAATATATTTTGTCCTTGAAACAAACGTCATAGTTGGTGAAGAAATCCACGGTGCCCATGTGAAAAAATCAAGCTTAGGCTTTATCACTGACACGAGAACCAATACATGTAAACATTCAAAGATATTCAGTATCAATCTTATGGTAATTTTATCTATTAAGTACAGGTTAGTTCTCTTTTGCTGCCAGTTTATTATCACCCTGCCATTAATGTACGACAGCATAATCCACAGAGCTCTTGACACAGCATAGCATCCACACTGAGCTTAAATTTCAAGATAAATCCTGGAATACAAACACAATGCTGAAACATCAGTGGGATAAAGGGCAATACCAGGGGCAGAAAGAGAAATGGCACAGGTCAGTCATAACAGGCTATTTAATTCTAGACACTCAAAAAAGACTGAAAGAAATACGTGCTAACTGAAACGGTGTGATCAGGAATATGAATACTACTTTGATTTCCTTGCTGGAGCTAAATAAAGGTTAAAGAAGGAAATCTAAAATGTCAAAGAAACTAGTGAGGATGAAAAACATTGTTAGTCTAAGGACAACTGCACGCAAAACCCTAATAAATTAATGAAGGGGATTATTTGCCATGGAATTTGCATTAGCAGGAAACTCAACAGAATGGTGTCTCCCTGTTTAGCACTGATTGAAGTCACAGCTCTGGGCAACCTGAAAGTGTCAAAAATGTTCTACACTATGCTATACTCTGCACATGTATAAGGAGAAAATGATAATGGTGTGCTGGCATGATGCTGAAAAGTGAATCAGAAAATCACATGCACTTGAAGTCAAACTGGTGCTGGCAATCTTGTGTGATGGGAAGACACTGGGAATTCTTTTTCTGGAAAACAATGTAAAAGGCATTTGGTTTATGTTTCTTTCTGGAAAACGGCAATACCAGGAATACTATTATGCAATGGTTTTGTGTTGACTCTTAGGGCAGGGTGATAACCAAATAACCTGACATTGTCTCCCTTCCAAAGAGATCTGCCTAACTTCAAAAGCATTAATCAAGATCATTGAATTTTAAGTTCAAATCAGTATTGTGGATGTGTAAGACAACCATGACTACTATTTCTGGTCAGTCCATAAACAAGTGGTGGGAATAAAAAGCAGAGTACCTTTTCCATATCAACAGATAGCTCAGCAAACCACTGCCTTGCATCCTTCTGCTGGACAACACAGGCCACATGTAGGCAAGCTGCAAAGATCAGGTGACATGGATATTGAACAAAGATACACTCCCAACACAGTTAGAAATATTCAATTTTTTATAAACCCTACACAGTTCAACAGAGAAAACTCAGGATTCATTATCTAACTTTTCTTCAAGGCTTTTTAAGTTACAAGGCTACAGTGTCAGTGCTGTATGAAACACAACCTGAAGCACCTTATGAGAGCACTCATCACAATGCTTGTGATGGGACAGTGCACAAAATACATCCAGTTAAACATGACAGGAAACATTACTTGTTACTTACCTAGAGCTATCATGAAAGGAGGGTACAGCAGACAAAGATCAGTTCTATATGTGTCATTCACTATCCTCCTGTGCAAAAAAGAACTTGTAAGTATCTTTCTATTCACCTTTAGACTATATTCTGTCAAAAACTACTGTTGGTTTACAACTATATCGTCAGTTTTCCAGATGGTCTCAACTATGAGGCTCCAGGGCCTCATCAAGGAAAGAGATCTTTTCCCTTGGAAAAATCTCTTAACACCTTTCTTTTTTCCCTTGAAATTACAGCAGAAGTTTATTTGGAAATATTCTTTTAGTACATTAATGTCTTTCTTCAGTGGATGTGTATGTATACTATCAAATAACAAGGGCACAAATAACTAAGGGCTAGCATAAAAGTAATACTTCTACTGTCTTTCCGTATTTGAAACAGTTGAAGAATAAGAGTTCTGCCAACACAGTTAAAAACCCTGTATATTGCTTCTACCTCCTATGACATGCTACAACAAAAGGACAATGTTGACACAAAGAAATTTCCTCTACTCATAGTCACCATTCAGTAATGTTAAAACTGTGCTATTAGAGCTAGTCTAAAAAATAAAAATTAGACCACTGCAAAGTAAAATTATTCCAGGGTTAAAGACAGAATAAGCTAAATCAGGGACATACACCTGCACAGGTTAACTAGGGCACCCTTTGTATTCAAATATGGCTAAGCCTGCTTTGTTCAGCAAAAGCTTAACCACCTTTGAAGCATAACTATTAAACACTTGCTTTCTTGATGAAAGGAGGAACTATTTCCATTGTCTTCATTACCATGCGAGAGGTAGCAGCATGTCTTCTTGGCCCATATCTTGCACATATTGGAGCAAAGGTCTATAAGGATGATACACTATCAAACAGCAGTCCTAGGAAAAATGTCATTGGGACAGAAGTTAGATTACAATGCAGATAATGTTGTCACTTCATATTAAAACATTTGGTTTACAAGTCAATTACTGATTATTTTTTCAAGTAGCATTCTAACACCTAGCCCTGTTCTAATGAGGGCAGTGCTCTCTTTAGAATACCATTACACAGCACAGTTGCCAGTCTGTCAATGTCCTTCCCCTAAGAGACACAGAAAGTCACATCTGCAGCACACTGAAACCTCATTTGCTTACAAACCCGTAATTCCCACTTGGAAATACAAAACGCTGCCAGAAAACAGTCTGCTACTAAATACCATACATGGAGAGCATGCCAAAATAATTGATGCTGGTTTGGAAAGAAAGAAAAGAAAAATTCCACTGCTCTCAAATCCCCTCATTTCAGGTCCAGATAAACAAGAAGGAATAATCCTCTTGCTAAAAGCAGCCAACTGTGCGGATACCACAGGGAAAAAGCCTGGGTTTTATGTTACATGTGCTGAACACTTAAGTGAAACATAGTTACTGCACACACTATATATTGCATAGCATACTGGAAAAATAAGTGAATCCCCAAAACATAACTTCTTGTAAATGCAATTGCTTGTACTAAAACTCCTGTATACAAAATTCAAGAGTTACTACCAAGTATAGCAGAGGTATGAAAGACTAAATCTAAACAATAATCTAAAAACTGTATTAAAACAACTTGTAGGTACAAACTAAAACTTTGATGTGATCTCCTCTGTGCTCAGTTCCCAAAACATATTCTCTCATCTGCTGTCTAACTCACTAAGCTGCTCCCTGGTTTCTCTGTCCCTTTCTCTGCACTTGAGCAGAACTACCCTAGTACAGCAGTACTAGAGTTCAGTGCTTAACCTGTCCAAGTCCAAGCCATATGCAGAAATTAGGCACCACTTTATCCAAGCCCCTAAGAAGCCTGGGTTGCCTCCTTTCAGCTACCCGAGCAAACACAGCAATGGGATAGCTATTCTTACAAAAATCAGGTATGGCTCCTTTCTTTGAAAGCATCTGGAAGAAAATGTCCTACTGTGCTCCTTTGATCCAACAGCCTAAGAGTTACAGCACCATCTCAGAAAATGGGAGGCCTAAATTCAGTTTCTTCCTCACACCATTCAAACCCACATCTCACTTCCTAGAAGATTACTCTAATTATTAGGTTGTTATAGACTAGTCTGCGTGGGATAGTACCCACACCTTCTGCTAAAACATATATTTGTAGCCCCAGATTCTTCCAGGCAAGAAGTAGAGGACATAGAAAGAATACAACTCCCCATGGTAATGACTAGACATTCCAACTAGGGAAAAAAGGACACTGACATCCCAGTCTCTGCATCAGGACTTAGATACAGTTACGTCTCTCATAAAAACAGAAGCAGTTCCACCAAAAAACTCAACCTACCATTAATTCTAAGAGATAGAATTCACATTCTAGTATCTGTAAAGAAGCAAAATCACAGTTAATAAGCAGCACGTTTCAGGCAGCAGAAAGAATTAACTGACACAGTTTAACATCACAAATGCACAGGAATTCTCAACAACTATTTCCAACAGTCCTAAATGCATTTTATCTGAAACACAAAACCAAACAAAAATATTATTATTGGCTATTGCCTTATCACTATCACAACTCCAGTAATAATAACAATGAATTTAAATATTTTACATCAAGTTTTCTATGAAAGACTACTTCATTGGCAGCACCTGTCTGATTTGTTTCAACATCTTGTAGCAGCAAATTGTTCCCAGTGCATAAAAACTTCACAGCAATAGAGAAGTTCTTTTGTAGAATTAGAGCATCTTCATCAGCCCACTAACTTGTCAAATAGCCTTTCAAAATGTTTTCAGATTTAATTTCACATGAAATATTCTCTCCAATTGCAGCAATTAAATCAGCTTTCACTCTCAATAGAGAGGGTGATGTATTGTATTGGTGACATCAAGGAAAAGACTGGACTAATTTGGCTACATGAAAGCAGTACTCCAAAATGTATTTCCATTTGCCTTTACCTGTAAAACAGCAGTGCAGTTTTATTATAAGGCCTTAAGTATTTTATATTCTGATGTATCATTTGGCTTTCTAGATTGGCTGAAAACCACCAAAAAAGTATTTTTTTACAGCCAATCTAAAACTATTGAGATGTTTAGCTTTCAAAATTCTACAGCACAGGTCAAAATTGGTTTTAAGAAAAATTATAAAACTTCTAAGTATTGTGACTGAGAATACCTTGAAAACCACTGGTAATTTTAAATTTTAAGTACTAATTAAAAACTATTTTTCAAGAGACATAAAATTTTACAGGCAAAAATAAAATTGCTTTCTCTAAGCCAACTGCTCATGTGTGCAAAATTGGAAGCACTCCAGGTGCAAAGGCCATTTACTTTCCCTGGAGCAATGTATCTGTAACCAAGAATATTCAAAAAATCCTAAATCTCTTTTCTCATCATACTATAGAAAAACTACCATTTCAATCACCCTATTACATCACTTTTCTGTCAACAATTTAAGGAAAGAAGGTTACATAATATTCTTATTATTTTTAAAAGTAACTTTCCCAATATTCTATGCAAAAATAATCAAGAACAGCCCTGACATATGAGGATGAAAATATTTATTTCTTGGAATTTAAAAGACAGAATCTCCTGCTAATAATTATTAATTTATTTGCTCAAGCTGTATTTCAAATAGCATACTTACATGGTTCATCCTATAAGGAAACTCCTTTGGAAAGGCATATGAAAACCTAGTTTTCACTACAGTAAACACAAAAAAAGTGTGTTAAAAATAATGTAAATAATACTTATACTTCATTCCCTTTCTATTCATTCATCTGTACATAGCATTTCAATCTGGCAGCACAACTTTCAGTTTGTGGCTTTCAATACAAAAGGTTTGTATTCTAAAGAGAAGAAATAAATTAAAAGATTTAAGATCCTGAAAAGGAAAGAGAAATACATCTGGAAAGCCAGATTTTCACAGATACTCAGCCAGACACTTGACTGCTGCTTTGGACACTACTAAGTCTTCTGGTTCACCACCAACTAGCTTAGGGACACCTAACTTCCCACAAGTTACACTCACAGAGCTCTCCAGCTACTGATGTTCTGGATGTCAGTTCCAAATCCAAATGGAATTTTCATGTGGGATTTTTTACATAGGTTTGATCCTTCAACATGCAAGATTTTAAAAGAACTAATGAGGTCTTAGAAAAGCAAGCTCAAGGGCAGGGTAAGGGATTTCTTCCAGGCCATAATGTAATGATGATGTCCAGTTGAGATATTTAATGAATCTTTGTGTATTTTACAAGGAGAATGAGTACAGTCAGTGCACTGGTAGGAAGCATGTTAATATGCAAAACCAGAGTGATTTCATGTCAGAACACTGAACAAAGAAAAAGAAGAACACTTCAAGATGTGGATTTGAGATCTGAACAAGTGAAACATTTAAAATCTATTTTAAGTCCTTGTCCTCCAAGGAAAACAGGTAACATTTAACGTCCTGGAAGTGGACAATATGCCTTATATTTATGAGAGACAGTATATTATTAAACTATATTATCAATATTACTTCCAGAAAATCAGTATGACATTCACTTCAAAGGAAAGACAGCATCAGTCCTCTGGATCTAAGAATTCACCATTCAGACCTATGGTGAACTTTGCTAGAAAATTTGTTGTAGGACACCAAAACTGGGCTACTGTTCAGAAAATTTAATTATTTCAAGAAAGAGAAGAATCAATAGAAGAGTTTCTCAACATGTATGCAAACTGAAGAGGTACATGGTAAAAACAATACTAATTGGAGAAAAATAGGGAGAAAAATAACTTTTCCCACAACGCAAGCCATAGACACAACCACTACATGGAGCTATCATTTTAGTGAGATGTGTTAACAAAGGAAAAACCTTTTGAAGAGGTTGTTGAAAATCAGGCTAGGATTATCTTCCTTATAAAGGAAGCAAATGTTATTAACTTCAAGCTGTTACCTAGCTAAAAACAAGAAAACCTCTTAACCCAGACATTATTACATTAGTCACCCTTTTTGTTAGGCTGCTTTTGCTTTTACTTGTCTTGCCTCATCTTTTCTTGCCCTTGGTATTGAGGCCTATATATAAAAACCACTGTGTGCTACCAAAGCAACTCTAGTAAAGGAAGACCAGATAGAATAAAACAATAAATGCTTGGAGAAAGCCTGTTGCATTTTGCCCCTACTTCCATGAAATGCATAGTACTTATCAGGGCTGACAGGACTTCTAGGTCTGAAGGAAGGGCTGTGGGGAAAATCTTCTATAGGATCCTGAGACTGGGATTTTGAGAAACAGCACAGCTAAGAACTAGATGTCCACGTAAAATCAGCTGCCACATATTCACCAAAATCCATCTAACCTTCTCAGGGATGCATCAAAACTTCCACATAATGATGCTTCTGATGTAAAAATAGCAACTCTCAGTGCTAAATCCAATACTGGTCTTGGTCATGCTGGCACCAAAGATGTGTTTCAGTTCCTGGTGGCAGAACTGTCACACGGCCAGCCCCATGGACTGATACACTCTCTGCATGCAGAGGCTACAGAAGCAGCCAGTCACCTGTCTCCTCAACAGCTACGAGTGATTTTGAAAGCGCTGACCTACATATATTTGGAAGAGCACAGCCAGGAATTGTCCACTGAGAGCAGCTGGACCTTCTGGATCAGATAATAGCATTCAGCTAATGAAGACATTACTTTGAGTTTGATGGACAAGATATAAGTTACATGAACTGGGAAATACAAGACAAGTGGGAAAGATAGAGAATTAAGTAACTACAGTGTAATTTTATTGAATTCATTGTGAATGACAGGTTATAAAATGTATTTTTAGAAATAAATATCATGTCCAAAGACTAATTTTATGACGGAAGAAAAGGATTTAAAAAACCTGAAGATATACAGCCTACCAACAATTCTTAAAACAGGTACTGCCACAGAGCCATACCTTTTACTAAACAGACAAAGCCATAAATTTCCAATTCTATCTTTGAGTAGTCAGAATTCAATTTACTACTTGAGGTTGTTTATAAATGTCAGTAGCTTTATTTTATGACTTTGCTTTCACTTATGCCTGGCATAAATTCCAACCATAATTAACCAAAACTAATACAAAAAGGACCCTTCTGTCTCTGTATTTGGAAACAGAAGCCATTTATTTATTCTAAATGGTTTTAACTGGCTCTTACAGTCCGCCATGATTTGATAAAAAGCTACCTTCTAAAAAAAAGCAAAGAAACAAAGTGATCTCCCTATAGAGATACCTAACTAGAGTGTAATGAAAATTACTGATACTTACATACAGAAGTAGCAGCAGAAATCAACCTTGTATTTGAAACAACACCAAATTCCTGAAGAAAAAGAATGCCAAATGAGGTGAACCACCTGAAACACCATATACTCACACTGTTATCAAATTAAAATAATGGCTTCTTACTAAACTGGGATTCTTTTTGCAGTATTGTAGTATTTGCTTTTTTCCCCCACCCTTTTTTTTTTTTTTCTCTTTAAGGTGAACAGGATTAAACTCTTTACCTAAGAGTTATTTCATTGACTAGTTTCTTGCTTGTTTGTGAGGAACAGTAAAGATTTACGAAAGGTACTAAAGCCACAAAAGCTCAGCTGGCTAACATTCTTTATATAAAATAGACAAGAGGGCTTCAAGAAGGTTATTTTTTTCCTTATCCCATTTGGAGAGAAAACTGTCTCTACAAACCTGCCATTAACTACCTTTTTTAGTTATGTTTTCCTGAAGTCTTAGCTCCTCTGCTGAGACAGCAATCTGAAAATTTTCTATATACAGTGTTCTTTCAGAGAAGTCCATAGCTGAATCAATAGTGCTGCCCTCTAAAGCTGCAAAAGCTTTAGGAAGGCAACACAGACTTCTAATTTAAGGTACATCTATGTATATAAATCTAATCTATGTCTGTACCTGCTTAAAGGCTTATTTAAAGGTTGATAAAAAAAAAAAAACACTCTCCCTGTTTTACGTGATGTCTTCTAAACACTGAAAAGTGTCACAGGACTTCTACTGACAACAGTATCACATGTCACCACTAGTTTAGTAGGACTGTTTCTACAGTCCATTAAGTATTTGAGTTCCTTCTGTAAAATTCCTTAGTGCTGACATATAAATTGGCCAATCTGACTTTTTTCCCTTACACAGACACTTCTCAAATAGCTGTAAAACTTGCCGCACTACAGAGGACTAACAGCAGCACCCAGCTGATGCCAACTCTTGGCCACATTCAAAGGGAAGTACCAATAGTGGAGACACAACCCTCTCACCATGATCCCTAGGGGGTCAGTTCCTTATGATAATTTCTCAAGGACAGCACATGATCTACAACATACTTTTAATTCAAGTAATGAAAGTGTGGTAAACTCTGAGGATCCCTTGCTATATGAAAGAGAACAAGATAATTAGGAAAAAATTCCAATTATGTTTTAAAGTTTGAGTAAATATAAATAAGGAGAAACACACCAGAAAGGAGACACTGCTTAAGATATACACAATTTAAGATACAGTGTATGTAAATATGTAAACACTGTGTCACAGTGAAACAGTCATTTAAAATATTCTTTTCAATTTTCAGAGGCACTTCAGGGTAATTCAGACAAATTTTGAAGGCCTTCTCTGTCTCCTTTTCTTAAATGTTATAGAAATCTATGCAAAAAAGAGAAGGTTTTAACCCCCAAAGCATGAAGAAAGACAAAAAATTTATAAGTCCTAAACGTTTTCTTTCTCTCATACATCACATAATGTTACATTAAAAAATTGTAATACTTCATACCTCTACTTTGGATGCCAAAAACACACACGTAGGAGCCATTAATACTGGATCTATACTTTTTAGGGAATATCTGAAATGTTACAACAAAATTATAATATGTTGTTTCATACATGTAGAACGATTAATCTATTAAGAGCACCACACTTCCTTTTGAAAAAGCAAAGCTTAAGTTAACTTTATTAAAGCATAAAAGCTTTACACCATCCAAAAAACAAAAGTGGCACTGTTTTTAATACAGAACTGCATTTTTAAAGGGCTACCAAAATGTGCCTAGCAAATGTTTTATTCTTGTACCATCATAGTAAACAGTCCTACCTGGCATAGAATCTCTTGAAGTAGACTGTAGCAGTGGCAATAACTTGTTGTCTTAATTTAAGGTGTTCACCTAAAGCCTGGATAACTTAAAAAAAAATGAACAAAAGCTTGAGTTGAGTTTTTTTAAACAATTTGACACCAAATAGCAACGGGTCTCAAAACATGGCTAGTGCTGGGGATTCTAAGGAGCAGCACCACAGTCTTCTCCCTCAGTTCAGTTGCTCTAGAGAGACACAACACGGTGCTGTGAACCTACAGACCTGCAGGTGAAGAACCGCTGCCTCCTGAAGCTTGGGGACACCTTCAAAAAGGAAAAGGAACCTTGACTTCACTGTGTACAAAATGAGTATGACCTTTAAGAAGATGACAACACAAATCTCAGAAGGGTGAAGCTCAGGTTTTCTATTTTAGAGCAAAACAAATTCAGACACAGGAAATATAAATCCCCAGCTCTTCAGTGCCACAGAAAATTGATGGGTTTCTCTCAAACAAGTAAAGCTGCCAACACAAACACGGTCATTAAATTTGGCAGAGGCAGCAGGTGTTAAAAAAATGACATATTTAGTCTAGGGAGAGGGGGTGGGAGACCAGAGGATGCAGTCAGCTGCTCCATCATGGTGGTCCTCTGCCAGTTGGCCAAGAAACAACCCTGGTGTCATCTGTGCAGGTAGCTCTTGTTTGGCCTCCCAGGCAAAGGAAAGGTGCCAAGCAAATTAGATGCATCAAGCTGGGATTAAGAGCAGGGGTTGGATGTAAAGAATGGCACAGTGAAAAATAAGGTTGTTACTTGTTATTTTTCCCATACTTCTTCGCCGCCATTATTCTGAGCACGGCTCGGCTGGGCGAAGACTCCCTCTTCTTTTTTTCCTCCCTCATGAGAAATGTCAAAAACAGTACCTTAAAATATACTTAAGTAGATATTTAGAATATGTACAGCAATACCAAGACAGTGACCACTGGTGGGAAAAGCAAACAATTCTGTTGTCAGTCATCACTAAATTCTTAGTCTTTACTTAAACATTCAAGTGGAGAATTTTTTATCCATGCTCTTATCACATATCCCCTGTGAATGGCCAGGGTACACATTTGTCACCCATGGGCAAGGCCCAAAGCAACACTAAATGCCTATCTCTGTCATATCATTCTTTTTCTAGAGAAGAATGCCAAATTGGGACTAGTTTGACAGTGACAGTAGGACAAGCAATACTTCCGAAAAGGGTGTTAAACCCAGTATGCAATGTCTGCACAAATATCAAACATTTTATCAGCATATCTTGGGAGGCTGGAAAGAATTTTTGACTTTAATTTGACCATGGGGCTAAAAAGCTGTCCTACTACTAGGGCATCAAAAAAATTCAAGTATTAGGCTAAACAGAATTCTCCAAATATGTTTCATACTCCCATGGGATTTTCAGGAATGGTTAGGCCATCTGCTGTCAGAGAAAAATCAAGTGTGGTTTAGGAGAAAAAAATGGACAGGAGCCTAGAGAGACTTAATGAAATGGAAGCTTGTATATGCTGGGAAAAAGTCCAACACTTGTAATTATTCTAGTATTTGAAAAGAAACTATAAGATAATTTAATCCTGTACATTTACAAAGTAAGTGGGTTTAGTGGTTTGTTTTTTTTAATAAATGTTGTTTTGAATCTGAGTATTTTGGGTAGCCTCTAACACAAACATTACTGCTTCTGCCCATAATGAAAAAAGGAAAACAACTACTACACTTCTCAACCAAAACCAGTTAAGGCTTGGTGATCCAAACAGAGGAACTAACATCAGTTTCTTTTTTCAAACTCCTTTAGAAGATGTTATTTTTCCTTTTCCTCATAGCTGCAGGGAGCTATACAATCAGTTAGTGATCTACTGCACTTGTTTTCCAATGAGGAAGCAGCAGGAAATTGCCCCTCTCCATGCAGATTTTAATTGCTTTAGGGAACAACCATCTCCTGGACTGACACACACTGAATGTGACATGCTGTGGCCGAGCCTCATCTGCTCTCAGGTAGTGCAGATGGGAGACAAGGGGGGACCCAAAGCACGGCCTCTGTTCAGAGGCAGGCGATGATACAACCCATCGAGGCGAGCTCTGCCGGCACACAGAGTACCCCTAACTGTCCTGCCCTCTTTGCTAGAGAGGGGGAGAAGGCCCAGCACCACTCTCTCCTGCAGAGTAGGCTGTGTTCATACAGGCACAGGGGAGATGCTGGCAGAGCTGTTCTCCAGCTGCCCCCAGTCACTCACCTACCTTTAGGGCAGGCATGAAGTGCCAAGGCAAAGGACCCTGGGACAAACCAAAACTAACCAACTTGTTTACTTTGTAAAGCTTTGTTTACTCAAGAAAAACAATTAAGTGAAACACTCAAAAAGCATATTTCACAGTTCAAATTAATACTAGTAAAAATTAGCATAGAAATACAGTTTTAAATATATCCATAACCCTCCTTTTGTCTCGTTTTTGTGCTATGAAGTTATGACACTTGGTTTTAACCTCAAGAAATTTCAGGACTGGATCAAATGGGTAAATCATTGCTAGCTTCATTTCCTAATGCCCTATAAGCAATAACACAGAGGTATCCATAGTGATCATGTTTATAGCATATGCAATTGTTACAAAAATAACTAAGCTAAGAGAGAAGCTGGGATAAATATCTTTCACAGATATCATTCCAGCACTGACATAAGATCTTCCAGTGGCTTTGGGAAAGTCACTTCACTTCTCTGTCTCAAGTCTGGCCAGACAGCTGCAAAAAATAGCCATTCTGTACTTTAAAGGACTGCTGCAAAAAACAGATAAAGAGCTGCTTACAAACAAGTTATTAGCTAGCAATATCCTTTGCATAAGGTGATTTTTTTAAATACTGAACAATTGCACAGAGAAAATTTTACGTGCCTTTGTGCCAGGTATGGCCATTCATACGGATAGCTAAATGCTTTGAAAGATCAAGTAAATCTTAGACAATTTTGCATACAAGTCCCAAACTCTCTGTGAGAACAGGCTGCCTGCCAACAGCTCTCAGAAACTTATAGACAATTTGAGAGCCACCTGGTACTGGGAAATCAGTCAGAAGACAAAACACAGGCTGTGTTGCAGGTTTCAGAGAATGTAAATACACAAATAACAAGTTTCCAAACTCTGCTGTTTAACAGGAAGGCACAGATCACCTAAAATACTTACCCCACCCTAAGAACTCACCAGAAGCCCAGGCTGAGTACTAATGCTTGACACTGAGCCTTTAATACACTAGCTTAGCAATTTCTGCTTGCTTCTCCTCCTTTTATGTTTTGATAAGAACCTCTTGAAAACAAGAAAATTTTCTGGTTTGTCCCATCACAGGTTAAAAGGTTATATATGCAGCTAATTAGCCTTCAAGGTCTCCTAGAATTATGTTAGTACTACTAACAAATAATGACGTTATTTATATTCCACGCCTTTCTTAAAATAAGCTGAAAAAGTATATGTAATACCACAATGAAAACATTACACTCCTTAAGCAATTCAAACCTCCATTTAGACATGGCACACATTGCACAGATTTTATGGCAGAAATAAAAGAAGTTTTACCATTAGTAAAAAATATCTGTAGCTTCCAATATTCTTCTTCAGTCAGAAATTTCAAGTCTTTCTGGCGTTCTTTCAATAGATCTTGCTTATCCAAAATCCATTGTAAGCTAAAGGAATGGAAAATAATTTCAGCAATTCTTTATCAACATTATACTGAGCGTCTCCCATACAAACAGACTAGGAATTAAGGCTCGGGGATAAAGGGCTTGTGGCCTATTAAAAAACCCACAATCTTCTCAAGCAACTGTTCTTCGGGGTTTTTGAAAGTTAGACAACTGAAGAAAACCCAACAAAAAACCAAAACCCAAACAACAAAACATGAACTACCGGGGCTGAGATTAGCCTCCACCAGTAGCAAACTGAGCTGGCTGTACAGATCTTAGACCCTGACAGTCACTAACAAGGTTTATGTTGCAGCCATTTCATTACGGGCACCATTCAAACCTTGACGCGCTCAGCATGAAGCATTTCAGGGCAGAATCGCAGAATCCATTAGGTTGGAAAAGACCTCTGAGATCATCGAGTCCAGCCCAGGACCGAACACCACCCAGTCAACTAGACAATGGCACAGAGTGCCACGTCCAATCTTTCCATAAACACCTCTCGGGACGGTGGCTTCACCGCCTCTCTGGGCAGTCCGTTCCAGTTTCAAACACACTTCCTAATGTCCAACCTAAGCTGAGCTCCGGCTGCCCCGCCGCTGGGCACAAGCGTGTCAGGGACCCAGGCTCCCGCACTCCGCCGCTGGAGCCCGGGGTGGGGCGGGCACCGACACCGGGACGCGACCCCTGTCCCGGAGCGCCCAAACGCTTCACAAGCGACGGCTGAGCGGGGCAGGCTCGGGCTGCTAC